CTCTCTCTCGCTCTCTTGCTCTCTCTCTCTCTCTCTTCCCCCCCCAAAAAAAATAAAAATTCCCCAGGCCCTCTCTCTGTCTTTCCAGTCACCCCCTATTCTTGCTCACCTCCCTCACTTGGGAATTTGACTGTTGCTTTGGTGATTTCCTGTTGAACAGTCGCCACCGTTCTCTCCTGCGAAGTCCTCTACTTATAAGGTGACTCCCTGTGGCACATCAGAGTGTCTGTCATGCTCAGGCAATGTGTGCAACTATTACATAGCCTATGGAGAAGGAAGTACTACTCAAGGGATACTGGGCACGGATGTCGTAACGTTTGGTTTAGGTTCGCCAAAATCGATATCGGCGCAATTGAGTTTTGGGTGTGCACAGTATGAGGACTCGCATTTGTACCTGCAGAGGGTGGATGGCGTCATGGGTCTGGGCAGGGGTTCAAAGAGCTTCATCAACCAGCTTGTTGAAGCCAAGGCCATAGCAGATTCGTTTGCCGTTTGCTACGTTGGGATTGGTGAAGACAACATTGCTGGCAATGACGATGGACCAATGGGAGCTCTGTTGCTGGGGACGACGCTGGGAGATGCACCAGGGATAATTTACACTCCTCTTGATATGACTCTAAGGTAAGGACAGAATCAGCCACACTAGGGCTAGGCTCCGCTGGTGCGATGCTCGTGCTAAGAAAGTGTGAACCTAGCGATGTTGAGGAGCGCACTTGTGCTTTCAAGCATGATCGTAGCACCAGTGGAGCCCTGGCCCTCAGCCTCTCTCTCTACTTGCCTCTCTTAACAAGCCACCAGAACCAAGTGATGTTTCTCCTAAAAATAAACCGGCAAGAACCAAGTGATGAATTCTCTGCAAGAGGTTTGAGCTTGAGAAAAATGATTACTCGTGTACCAAAGCACCTTTTCAATGTTTCATGTCAGATGCACCCAATGCGTAAACAACCCTCCAAAATGAAGAAATACCTTCTCCCCTTTCCGACCGGTCCCCAGAAGGTTTTGAAAAAGGAGGGAAACGAGGTCCGTCGCCTTGTAAAGCTTGGAAGGCCCTCGGAGGATCCAAGTTATCGTTCAGTTCTACGAGGACTACCTCCTCTTTCTGAAAAATTGTATGTGTAAGACTATGGTGTATTGCATTCCTGCATTGTCCTATTGGGATGCAAGCACCTGACAAATGAAAAAAAGGCAGAAAGAAAAAGAGGAAGACTGCAAAAACAAAGATGATGTCGTAGGCCAGGTATGGCTCTCGGACAAGACTTTCGCTGGACCGTCTTAGTTAGCTTGATTGGGGTGGTAGTGTGGACACGTCATGACAATGAATATAATAATTAAATATACAGATATTTCATCTTTGTTCGTCGGGGTGAGGTCCCACTTACTCGGATTCTACTGTTCGGACAGAGTGCCCAGACATGAGACCCCTGTTCGGACAGAATACCCAGACATGAATCCCCTGTTCTTGTGTCTGCCCGTCGTACGGGTACGGGCCGTTCGTACGTATGGCAGTACTGTACGAACAGCCCCCTGACAGTCGTACGGACCGTATATAGGGCCGTACGTCGGTTCCGGGGCTTTCGGGGGGGCGGCTTCAAAATTCGATGGCAGGGGGGGGTTGCTGGAGTGAAGGGGTGCCCCTGCGGGAACAAAAA